GGGCCGGGCCGGGGGCGGGGGGGCCGGGCGAGGCTCCCGCGGGAGGCCGGGGCCGGCGCCTCCCGCCTCACCGCCCGCCCCGCGCCCCGCAGCGGAGTCGGACACGTCTAAGCCGCCGTGCTACGAGGAGGCGGTGCTGATGGCCGAGCCGCCGCCGCCCTACAGCGAGGTGCTCACGGACACTCGCGGCCTCTACCGCAAGATCGTCACGCCCTTCCTGAGCCGCCGCGACAGCGCGGAGAAGCAGGAGCAGCCGCCGCCCAGCTACAAGCCCCTGTTCCTGGACCGCGGCTACAGCTCGGCGCTGCACCTGCCCAGCGCGCCGCGGCCCGCCGCGCCCTGCCCCGCCCTCTGCCTGCAGGCCGACCGCGGCCGCCGCGTCTTCCCCAGCTGGACCGACTCGGAGCTCAGCAGCCGCGAGCCCCTGGAGCACGGCGCCTGGCGCCTGCCGGTCTCCATCCCCTTGTTCGGGAGGACTACAGCCGTATAGGGGGGCGTCCGGCGCCCCGGGCCCCGCGGGCGAACTCCTGGCCCGGCCGCGGGGCTTTTTAAATGCTTCCCCTGGACTGCAGGGAGGGGCGGGGGGAGGGCGGGATTTCTTACCCTGTTTGTTACATTTTGAGGATAATAAAGGTGTGTGATCTGCTTTGGTACAAGCGGAGGGGGACACCGGCTGCTTCCAGCCCGGGCGCCTGTGACCGGCGAGTGCCCTCGCTAGGCTTCCCGCCTCGGGGGGCGGGCGCTCAGCCTCCGGCTAGCCCGCTGTTGTGCGCCCCCTGTAGCCTCGGAGGTGAGAGGAGTTGGGACGCCAGATCGACCCCTGGAGGCCCAGAGCAGCAGGCCTGAAGGGATGTGGATTTCTTTATTAACAGACATGAGCACGACCCATTACATAAGTTTGTGCTTAAAAAAAATGTGAAAAAGAACCCAAGCAGAGAGGAAGGAATGAGGGACGGTCCGCCCAAGCCCCTGGGTCCCCTCTCTAGGACCTGACTGGAATCTCGCCTAGGGCCTCCAGCCTGGGACCTGCCCGGCAGGAGGGCGGAAAGCCACGGGGCCCCAGGTGGGCCTGGAAACTCCTTTCGACCAAGCAGCGAGGGTGAAGGCAAGGGGACGGGTCCCAGGGAGCCAGAGCCCACGAGCCGTTTATTGCCATGTTTTAAATTTCGTGCAAAATATCTGAAGCCCTGGATAGAGAATACAAAGTGATTTTTTTTTTTTCCAAGAAACATAAAACTAGGAAAAGTGATGGGGGGGAACCTTTCTCCCACCGGAGCCCCCGCCCCCCACCAGGTCCCAAGCAGGGTGAGGCCTCCTGGCTGCTCGGCCGAGCAGGGAGGACTAAGCTACAGTCTGGGCTGGGCAGGAAGGGGCGGAATCTGCAACAGCGTTTCAACTACCAACGGGAGGAGAACCAGTCAAGTCTATCAACTTTAAAAAAAGACAAAGCTGTAAAAGTCAGGCCCTGTGGGCGGGGAAGCAGACAGGTCCCCGGGCAGCGCCGGGATCCGGAGTGCGAGCCAGGCGGGGCCGCTGCTAACGCTGGCGCTGCAAGCCGTCTGGCCAGAGGCCACTGCAGGTGGGCGGCCGTGGCGAGGGCAGCCAGGGGGCACTGGCCACTACTAATCACCACCCTCGAAGCCCTCTTCCTCTTCGGGTACCGGGTCTGCATCCCAGCAGGTGATGTCTATTTCTGGGATATACAGGGAGAAGAGAGAAGACAGCTGGGTAGACCTAGCGCCCACCACCCCCACCCTCTAAGAGCTGTGCCGACCGCGTTTAGGACACCGCCAGCCCCCGAATCCCCTCCTCTCGCCAGAACTCGCCATTGGTCCGGGAACACTACCTGGAGGCTTGTTGTAGAACAACGGAGGCGGAGCCTTTGCACACAGCTCTTCTGATTGGGCGAACTCTTCCTCCTGGGACTGACTGAAGTACCCTTCGCTGGCCTGCTGGGGGTTGTTATTTGGTTTTTTGTTTTGTTTTGTTTTGTTTTGTTTTAAACAAGCACATAGGTCACCAGGCCCCACCTGACAAGACTACAGCTGATGTTTCAGGCCTGAGCCTGTTTCCCCAGCAACCACTCTTGGAATCCTTGGTTGCTGGGGAAACAGTCTGCCAGGGAACAAACGCTGAGATGGAGTGGAACAGATCTGCTTCTCAATATGGATCCACAGGGAATCGGCCCTCCCCCCTCAGCCCTGTGCCATCCCTCCCCCGTGGCTGCCCCTGTCCCACCTGCGTCCCCTCCTTCTGAGTGGCCTCTCCATTGGTCAGGTGAGGTTCTGGCTCCAGCTCCTGCTCCAGCACCTGATCTACCGCCTCTAGAGCCGAGGGCATCGTTACGACCTGGGAGGCAGCCACCGGCTCCCCTTCTGCTTCCTCCTCTGGGTCACAGAAGGTGGCCGGAGGCTCTGGCAGCTCGTCAAAATTCAGAAGGTTGGCACAGCCTTCACCCGCTGGTGGCAGCGGCTCCTGAGGTGCCTCCTCCAGCAGAGGCACCTCTGCCAGGGAGGCCTCAGCACCTGAGGGTGGTGTGGGTGCCCTGGGCTCAGCCTGAGGTGCTGAGGCCTCTTCCCCATTGCCAGGCCATAGATCAATGAGGCTGGCAGTGGCGGGGCTGGCACTGTTGACAACAGTGGTGTCAGTAGTGGCAGTGGTGGTCTCAATGGTGTCAGCCGCATGGGCATCAGCTACTGAGGTGACAGAGGCAGCGGGCTCTGCGGGGGCGGCCGGGACAGCCTGCTCTGGGAGGTCTGTGCACATCAAGTCCTCCATGGGGCTGCTCTGCAACAGGGGGGGTTCCTGTGCCTGAGGGGGCTCCTGTGCACAGCCAGCCCAGGCCTGAGGGCTCGCTGCTGCTTTGGCCTCCTTGCTGGTCTCCTCGGCGTCCAGTCTAGGGGTAGACTCCTGGGCCTCTGTCGAAGCACACACGAAGGACACAGTGCAGTCAGCCCCCTCGGGGAAGGATAGACACCCTAGGCCAATCTACAGTGCCCTACCCACCAGCCAAAGAGCAAGGGAGTTAGCGCTTCTGGGAGGAACCACCACAGAGCAACCCTCAGCGTCAGCTGTACGGCTAGCCTTTCACCAACTGTTTGGGAACCGCTGGGAAGCCCAGGGAGGAAAGCCCCATGATCTCAGTGACGAGGCGGTGAGGTTAGAGAAGGGCAGGTCTGAAGGCAGCACCGGGGCTCCCCCTGCCACAGCCTCCTCCTCGGCAGCCTAGTGTTGCTTGCTGATGAGGGTCCAGTTCCTTTGAACTGCACGAGGCAGCTGGGGTCCCGAGCTCAGAGGCTGATGGAAGCATGGGTACAGGCGGAGCCCTCCTCTCACCTTGAGCTGGTGGGGGTGGTGGAGGCGGGGGTGGAGGCTGTGAGGATGTGACCTCATCCAGGGCCCTCTCAGTCTGCTCCGTGACAGGGGTAGAGGCTGTGCTGGACTCAGACGGGCTCCGGGTGGGGATGGGAGTGGGCGCCACCCTCCGGTGGCTGTCCAGGTGGCTGCCTGTGGAACAAATGCCCGGGCTAGTCGGTGAGGCTCTGGGAGCCAGGTGGAATCAGGACTGTCCACCTCGTCTTGAGTGTGGGTGGGGGCTGTGAGCTCCCCAGGCCCCCCAGGGGCCAGATTACTGCTCCAGACCCTGCGAACCAGGCCCCTGGGGGCCAGCGCCCTGCAGGGCCAGGGACAAGAGGCAGGTAGTACCTGCGGTGGGGACAGACACCAGCAGTCAGCAGTCAGGCTGGGGGAAAGGGCGAGGGGGCTGCTGGGAAGCGGGGCCCTCCTTACCCCACCCTGCCAAGGCCTGGGGCTGCTACCTACATGGGAGGGAGGAAGAGAGGTTTGGGGTGCGGTGACAGGTGATATAGGGAAAGGGAGTCCGTGGAGGGGAAGAGGAGGAAGAGGAGGAGGAGGAAGGCCCACTGTCCGATGCCTTTATGAAAGGGCAGTACGGACGACCTGCCAAGAGAGACAGACAGAGAAAGAGACAGACGACAAGAGAGGGTCAGTCTCCCCCCCCCCCGCCTCAAGGCCTCACCCACCCCCAGGGCCAGCCATAGATGTCCAAGCCACCTTCAGCCAAGCCGGGCCACAGCCTCAAGCCATCTGATGCCTCCCACCAGCCAGCACCAGACACACGCGGGCACACACAGCGGCCTCTAGGTAGCAGCACGAGTGAGTCTAGTCTGCCATGCTCCTGGAAGCCCAGCGCAAGACCAGGTACACACACAGTGGGTGCAAATAGACCAACAGACAAGAAATGGAAGGACGCTTCGGAGGGAGGCAGAAGCTACACAAGGTGAAGCCAAACAGGGGACCCTGGCGGACAGCTGCTCCAGGATGCTCAAACTGAAGGCCAGAGCAAGATTCCACCCCTACATGCATCCAAAGCCTTCGGGCCAGACCTAGTCCAACCCTGCAGAGAAGCTCCCAACAGCAGCTGTGTGGCTGAACCTTCACCACAGCTGCCAGCCGGCCTCCAGTACCACCCATCGCTCAGCCAAGGCCCAACACTGACAGTGGCCCCGCCCCCCACCCCCCGCCCCCCTGTGGGTGCTACCACCTGGAAAACTGTGGGTGGAAGCACACTGGAGGGGTCTTGCCTTCTCCAAGGAGTCCTTGGGCAAGGCTTCTTTTCCAAGAAGTCCCAAAGGGATTTAGGGCCATAGTCTGAGGAGTACTGATCAGGCAAGGATGGGGCCGAGGACTACCTGGCCGGTGGTTGAAGGGTGAGGGCGCATCACAGCTGCCAGCGGAGGCCGACGCAACCCGCTCCTGCTGCCTGAAGAACTCCCGAGGGTTGTCAGGACGCTGGGCAATGATGGCAGCTGCCTCCTGAGGGCACGAGGGAAGAGTTAGAGCTGGGCGCGCTAGCTGGCTGAGCCAGCCCTTGTCCGTCTCACTCGTACTCCCCAGCTCTCACCTCCACCTCGGATTCGGACTTCTTCATCTGGGACTCCTCCTCCTCATCTCGCTGGTCACCCTGGGAAGCAAAGGGATCATGTCCTGAGCCTGCCTTCCACAACCCAGCAGGGTCTCCAAGGATGGCTCTTCGCTCCCTCAGCACCCAGTTCCACAGCGCCGAGGCCACCTCTTGCACACACTGGCCAGGCCTTGGGTGCTGTCCCGTCCACTCCCACAGCTCCGCCGGTCCCCAGGGCCATCTACAGCACTCCTTGTCCTTTAGCGGCCTCGAGCCACAGCAAGCAATGAGTGCCGCTGCGGACTGCCTGTGGTTCCCATGTCTTACTTTAAAGCCTGTTTGTTTGTCTTGAGATGGGGTTTCTCTGTGTAGCCTTGGCTGTCCTGAACTTACTGTGTTGACAAACTCACAGTGATCCACCTGCCTCTGCCTCCCACGTGCTGAGATTAAAGGCGTGCACCACTGTACCCAGCCTTTAAAAGCCATTTTTAAAAGAATCATTTCTGTGCGTGGGGGTATTTTGCCTGCACGTGTGGTCACCACGTGCACGCAGTGCCCGCGGTGGCCAGAAGAGGGTGTCAGATCCCTAGAACTGGAACCACAGGTTGTAGGTGCTGGGAATCAAGCCCAGTCCCCTCCAAGAGCCAGCGCTCCTCACTGCTGAGTCACTTCTCCAGGCCCTGAGGGCAAGGGTTTTTGTTTGTTTTATTTTTACTTTTTGTTTGTTTGAGACGGGGTTTCTCTGTGTAGCCTTGGCCGTCCTAGACTCGCTCTGTAGACCAGGCTGACCTCACAGAGATCCACCTGCCTCTGCCTCCCGAGTACTGGGATCACAGGTATAAGCCCAGCTGATGGCAAGTTTTTAAACCCATGTAAAATGTAGCTGCTACCACTTAAAAGTTCAGTTTCATACTGAACTGAAAATAGAATCTGGTTTTGTCATCCTAGGGACTACCCAGGTCCTCCCAGAATCCAAGCAAACGCTTCACCAGTGACTACACCTGTAGCCCTTCATGCTTTTATTTGAGACAGGGTCTCATTGAACTGTCAGGCTGGCCTTCAACTTTCGGTTCCACTGCCTCACCTGGCTTTTGTTTTTTGAGATGGGGTCTCTCACAGACCCCTGAGTATCTACTTTGCATTTTTTCTCTCTGGCTCTGTGTGTCTCTGACCCCCACCTGGGGGTGGGCAGCTTATAAATCTGGGGCCTTGTAAATGCTGGGCCACTGCTCTACGCCAGGCTGCATTCGCAGGCCCTGGTTTCCCGGCACCACGGTGGTTAGCCAGGCACACAGAAGCCACCCTTACATGGAGGCATGCCACCGCATTCACCGCACCCCCCCCCCCCACTCCCTGATTCCCATTTGGCCCTTCATGACTTTTAAGACTGAAACCCGAGACTGGAGGTGGGCAGGTCCCTTGCGTGGGCAAATTCCCCTTCCCCAGTCTGATCTAGTCTTCTGACCCGGCGTCTATCCCAGCTCCAGCTCGCCCACATACTCTGCTAGATGTGGACACAATGTCTTCTGCAAACTGCAGTCACAGGAACAGTCTTACAGTTTCCCAGCTCCACACTCTGGCACAGGAGATTGGCCCACCTCTCCCAGTGCCTGAACATCAGCCTCTCCATTAAGGCCTCAGCCTGGGCACTAACTCCTGAGCAAGGAGCCCCCGGCTCACTCAGCCATTTCCTTCTCTGGGTCCCCTCAGGGGATTCCCAGCAGACGGCACGGCACAGGCTGCTCTGCCTCGTGTTTCCTGTTTCTGGGGTCACTCCCCTTATCTTCTGTGAGCAGCACAGGACGAAGACCCCGGTCTCTGGAGCGGCCAGCACAAGGCTGCTACGTGTTGGCTCAGCGGGACTCACTATACCAAAAGTCTATTTCCTGTTGTTCATGGGGCAAACTGGGCAGAAAGGGCTGCTGGGGAAGGGAAAAAAGCTGGGCGAGGACCAGAACTCTTTTTTTCTTACTTTCGAGACAGAGCCTTACTTTCTAGCACTGGCTGACCTGGAACTCATAATGTAGAGCAGGCTGGCCTGGAAGTCACAGCGCTATGTCTGCCTCTGCCTTCTTAGTGTTGGAACTACAGGCCCGAGCACCACTTCTGGCTCAGCCCTTTGCTTTAAGCACATAACCTAGAGCTTCAACATTGCCTAGTGTCGATTCTCTCTGTTCCTTTACTCTCCTCCAGTCAAGAAAAGGAGCAGAGGCAGGCTGGAGCAGGGTGAAGCAGACACAGTGCAGGCTGGAGCAGGGCGAAGCAGACACAGTACACCCAGCAGAGCGGCTCATATCCACAACCTCAGCACTGACAGGGAGGGAAACCCCTGGGGCTCGCTGGGCAGACTGTCTAGCCAGTAAGCAGGTTCAAAGAGAGCATATCTCAAAAAAGAAATGCACCGTCTGTAACACACACACACACACACACACACACACACACACACACACACACACTAAAAGGAAGAGAGCCTGCTCAGCAAGGAGGCTTCAACTGTGAACAATGCGAACAATGTGGACACCACTGAACAAGTTAGAGCTCTGGGTAGGCCTGAGAGCAAAACGAGAGTCAAGAGCACTGTTGTGCCTAAGCATTTTGACACATGAGAACCAAAGCAAAAGGGGAACCAATGGGCTGGGCTGAGGAACAGCTCAGCGGTTCAGGGTGCTTGCTGCTCTTGCAGAGGACCCGGGTTTCGTTCCCAGCACCACAAGGTGACTCACAACCATCTGTCACTCCAGTTCTAGGAGATCCAATGGCTTCTGAACAAGACGCACACACGGCACACAACCTCGCATGTAGGCAAACCACTCACACACATTAAAAAGTAAATCTAAACAAACTCTTGTTAACAGGAGAGAAAGCCATACAGCTCCTAAGCTAAAAGAAATGATTTAAGCCTGATGGTGGAGGCGCATACCTTTAACCCCAGCACTCGGGAGGCAGAGGCAGGCTGATCTTTGTGAGTTCGAGGCTAGCCTGGTCTACAAACAAGTGCAGGACAGCCGGGGCTACACAGAGAAACTTACCCTTGGGGGGGAAAAACATTTTAGGTGCTAAACTTCAATTTCCTGTGGGATCTTCCGGAGAGGACCGGAAATCAAAGGCCACCCTGCCAGCTGGCTACAGTGTTGCTACACAGTCACTTTCCATGAGATAATCTGAGGCAGGGCTGGACTATAAGAAAACAACCTCTGCAGTCACTGCATAACCGACAAAGAGGATAATCAGAAGTAGCCGCATGAGGCGACCTGGCTGTGTGCATGCGCACCCTACAAAACTTGACTTTTCCCAAAGACCTGGCTACGAACGAGCGAGCACAGCACTGATCAGGACGGCAGCAATGGAAGAAGGGGGCTGCTCCAGAGACCCTGCCTGTGTGAGCGGGCCCCAAAAGCCCCAGTCTCCATTCACTCAGGAGCTCTGCACCATTTACTACAAAGCCTAATTCTCACCCCTCCTCCCATGCTTCTACACCCCGGGCCCCGAGGGGTTAGCAGTGGAGCCAGGCCAGGCCAAGGTGGACCGACTCTTCCAATTTGGAGATAAGGGTCTAAAAGACATTTTTTGTTGCTGTTTTTCTGGTTTTATTTGTTTTTTGTTTGTTTGTTTCCACACAACCAGGTCCCCACAAGACAGGTACAGGGCCTGACAGGTGCATGATGCTAATGGCCATGCAGACTCCCGGGGAACAGTGCTAGCACCGGTGTGCAGAGGCCTAGAGCACACTGCCCACGCTCACTCCCGCGGCCAGGCACGAGAGCCCCGGGAAATAACTTACAAAGATGGACTGCTCCTTTAGCCGCCTCTTGGCCTCCTCAGCCTCTAGAGTCTGCTGCCTCCTCCTGGAATGAGAGGAGTGAGAAGCCCTTCAGGGTGCGCCGGGCCGGGCAGCTTCCGCCTGGGCCCGGCCTCACCTGTGCTCCTCTATCTGCTGCTCCCGCTCCCGGTAGCGCCGCTCACGTTCCTCCTGCTCCTGCCGCTCCTGCTCCATCCGCTCCTGCTCAAACCTCAGCCTGGCGTCCAAGGCCTTCTTCCGCTCTTCCTCCTTCCTCAGCTCTTCCTCCTTCTGCACCCCACACCCAGGAAGTACAAGCCCTGAGCCCAGGCTAGCCCCAGCTCTTCCGTTCTACTCCCACCCGGGCCAGGCACTAGGGGGATGAGCCGTGCGGTGCAGGAGACTGAAAGGGTCTGCTCTTTCTGCTGAGACCGCGAGGGTGCAGGTAGGGAGGTTAGGGTCCGCTGCCCACCTTGGCCTGCTCCCAGAACTGCTCCCGGTTAATCCGCTTCATTTCCACGGCTGCGTCTGTCTTCTGGTAGGTGGTACCCTGCGGAGTCAAGCGCCCGGCCTGAGCACCAAGAGCAGGCTGACCACTCAGGTACATGCATGTGCAGAATGAGGCCTACGGGGCGGGGGGACTGGGGAGGACTAGGGAGGTCTGACTCAGGGACCAGGCCCCACAGGGGAGCCTGGGCAAGACAAGCTGTCCCAGGAATACACTGACCACCGGCTCGGCGTTCTCATCCTCCCGGAGCCGCAGCCGATGCAGCACCGGGCTGGAGAGCCGGGCCAGGCCATTGGAGAGCCGCTGCCCGATGGCCCCAGCATCGATGTCTTCCACACTGCTGGCATTCACAACCACGTCAACACCCTTCCATAAAAAGCAGGGTTTAGGTGGCACCCAAACTTCCACTGCCACCCCCAGCATAGAAACCTGCCCCCACACCCCCTTCGGACCCAGTCCCCACATACCTGGAAGAATTCAGCCACCTTAGCCACGTGGCTGGCGCAAGCACATTTCCGGGCATCGGGCACATCTTCGCCAACCTGCAACGTGCCCGGTGAAGAGGGTCTCAGGAAAGGTGAGAGGGAGCCAAGGGCCTGTGGGCCCAGGCTGCTTTCCCAAGCACTCTAAGATTTCCCCCAACAGCGCTATGGGTGGGATGCGGCCGCTCTGGGGCCTTCAGCTCCCAGCCCCACCCCACAGCTGCATACCCAGTTGATGAGCACATATTTTGGCAGGGCGGCCTGGGAGTCCTTGACGCTGCAGAAGCCGTACATCACTTTCTGGTTCTCGAAGTGGCCAGAGAGCTCCTGCAAGCCCCCTTCTGGGGAAACCAGTACAGTGTCAGGACGTTTCCTCCTCCTATACCCTTGACCCTACAGCGGGCCTAGAACCCCCAGGGGATTTCTGTGCTGCAGAGTTGGAAGCCCAGACCTCTATGTAAAGAGGTGAAGCGGTAGACAGGGTTCTAGTTCTGCCTCTGACTCCTCCTGAGCCTGATTTGAGATGGGGCTGAAGAGGTGTGTCTTCACACCTCATTTCTCAGTGATCACACCTATTGTCTGAGGTGCTAGTGCCCAGCAAGGCACAAAGCTTTCCTTAAGGACAGCTTCCAGCTCTAGAGAAGGCAGCGCTGAGCTGGGCCACCCTGAGCTGGGCCATCCAACAGGCCCTTCGCTAGCTGTGTGATGTCAGGCAAGTTGCTTTTCCTCACTGTGCCTTCCCAGAAGTCAAACAGGAAGCAAGGCTCCCTCCCTCTAGGCTCTGAGGAATGCAGGGATGACAAGAGGAAGGACAACCAGCAGACAAGCCTGGCTCTGCAGGATGCACAGGAAAGTGGCTTGTTGCCAGCCAGGGAGGGGAACAGAGCAGCCCAAGTAGGTGGTGGGAAGGAGAAGGAATGGCTGGAATTCTTACCTCCTGAGGCTGCAAGCTTGAGGTCATCTGAGCCATCCTCATACGTGTACAGAGCCCTGGGGAGAGGGAGGGGTGGCTCACAGAACTGTCAGGTCCTAGGCAGCCAATTTTGGGTGGGGAAGGCACTAGGGAGGGAGAGCGGTACCAGAGGGGCAGGGCAGAGGAGGACAAGGAGGAGAAAAGCTTTGGTTGTTGGCTGATCGTGACAACAAAGCCAGGCATCATTTCCACTGAGCCGGAGACCTCCTGGGTCAGATGGCAGTCAGGGAATGGTGGCGAGAAATCTCTGCCTAGTCAGCTCAGCGTCCGGCCCTAGCCCTGGCAGCCCACAACCCAGCGGAGCGGGTGTGCGATGGAGACTCCAAGGCAACGGTTCCTTGGTTACTGTTCCCTGGCGACCATGATTCTCATCCCTCATTGGCCAGAGCCAGGAATCTACCTGGTGCTTGCCTTGGTACTCGCTGCCCCTCCCCCTATTGGGAGGGAGGAGCAGAATCTGGTGCTCAATGCTGGGCATCCCCTGGTAACCATGGCAACGAGCAATTGGCACAGAAACCAGCCCACCAGAGCTGCATTCTCCTCAAACACAAAGGACCCCAGGGACATCCTCAGACTAAACCTCTCCCTCTCTGAGATGGGGATGAGGTCACTGTGATCACTTCCCAACTCTGACCCTAAGACCTCCTGGGCTTCTAGCCCTAGGCTGCCTCTGCCCTAGCTGAGATCTCCCAGGCCTGCCATGTAGCCTGAGGCTGGCCAGACAGCTAAACTAACCACTTCCTGCCTTCCTGGCTTTTTCTGCTCTGTATTCCTTCTTGGCAGGCATACTGTAGCATCCATTTCATGGAAAGTAATGTAGAGATTCTCTGCCCAACTCCCCCCCCCCCCCCCGCGCCCAGCCCTTCCTGATGTAGGCACAGGCTGGAGACACATGGAGAAGGGAATCTTGGTCCCTGAGATTCAGAAGGGTTCAGACATTCCTCACCTTCCATTTCCTTTCTAAGCCAGGAGGCTGAAGTGTTTGAGGAAAGGAAGAAAGGGAAATGGAGGAAAGGGAGCAGAGAGGAGGAGGAGAGACAAGAGAATGAGGGAAGTGGAAAGATGAGGAGAAAATAAAAATGGTGGAGGAGGGAAGGAAAAGAAAGGAGCAGGAAGGAAGGAGGGACGTGGGGAGGGAGGGCCTAACCCCATCCCCTAGAGGTTGGGGCCCTAGTTGCTAAGAGGGCCAAATGGGCCCCTGCAGCCCCTCCCTTCCTGGGCCCTCCCTGCTTTTCTCCACAGAGAGACACAGGTGGGCTGCAGCCCCCGGTGCAACTGCTGCCCCGCCACCCCAACAGCTGCTTTCCAGCACAGCTGTCTCACCACCTGTCAGGCTGCCCTGACCCTCGGCCGTGAACAAAGAGCCACAAGGAAGCAGGGCCTGGCTCTCTCCATCACAGTTGAGACACAGACTGCACAGGAAGCCTGGCTCCAACACATCCCTCGTGGACAGACGCTTGTCCCGGCCTCACCAAGCCTCTCCGAGGCCCCTTCCACCTTTCCTCACCCACCTCCAAACAGCCCCTCTTCCCTGCTACGGCCACAACCCTTCCCCGGCAGAGACCAAGGCTCGTTCAAACGCTCTCAGCCGTGCACAGCCCACTTTCCAAAATGACCACTGTGCTCACACCCACACTCGGGTCACGCTGGCTCCCTGATGAAGTTCTGAAGAATGCTCTCTACCCTAGAGTTGCACTGTGCTTTCTATACGTGAAGACCACTCGGGAGGCCAGGGGCACGGGCAGCCTCAGTCGGAGCGTCACGCCCCAGAGCAGTACAAGAATGGCCCTGGACCCTGCTGGACAGTGTGTCTCTAAGGGAGCACAGGTACCCTGGGACTGGCTGCTGGGAGCTGGGGCACAAGCAGGGAAAAGGAGAAGGGAAGTGTCGGTGCACACCCCTCACCAGCACCTCCCCTAGAGAGAGTCAGCGCCGACCGCCCTGTCAGTCTTGTGAAGGCAGGAACCCTGCTAACACATGACTGCTGCCTCAGTCCTGGGCCCAGCACAGCGTGGCAGCACAGGGACTTGTAATGTTGACAAAGTCTTATCAACCATATGAGCCACAGACACTGGACCAGGGCAAGGTGAGCGTTAGGAGTGGAAGGTTGAAGACGACTAGTCACAGGGTGCTAGATCTGGAGAGGCCCTGGAAACCCGAGCCGGACCCGCCCAGGCCCTGCTTTTCTCGAGTTCTTGGGAAGAGCGGGAACTTCTCACACAATGACTCACAACATAACCTGGGTGGTGCTGGCCTTTCCCCGCTACACAATCCGACCTCCCCAGTGTCCTGCTTCCAGCACAAGGACAACGGTCCACTTAAGACCCTGCCACCAAAGGGTCAGCTACCCCAAGTTCCCCCACACCCATATGCAAAGTCAGGGTAGAGGGAGGAAGACACCAAACACTTCTGCCCCTACATTCTCACCCAGGACACCCTTCCCTCGGGGCTATTGAATGCAGGGTCTGCCCCAAGCCTTGAGCTCTCACTCGGTGGGGTTAGAGCTGAGAACCTCGTAAGATTCTGTAACCTTCTGTAAGATGCGCATATATTTGCGGGCGCACATGTGTCTCTGTGTGTGTCCCCCACACAACCCAGATGGGGCTGCCGCCCGCCAGGGATGAATAACTGATTCCCTTTGGCTACATGGCTGCTGCTGCTGCTGGTGGAAGCCTAGGCCTAGCTGAGCAGGATGGGGCAGCAGCAGTTGGGTAGACCGGCCCTGCGTGGCTGTGCTCTGTCTTTGAGGGGTTGCCTGTACCCAGCAGACTGGAGAGAAGGCAAGGTTCCGGGCAGGGCCATATCCCCAGACCCGCTCCTCCTCCAGGCCCTGCAGGCCACTCGCCCAGATCGCCTCCCATGATCTCAGCCCCCCAGGGGCAGGGCTGGGACAGCAGTGTGGAACTGCCCTGCTTGGCTTGTGCCGGCTTCTCCTATAACTGACCTGGAGACACAAGAACTTGCGTCCTGAGTCCATCCCTCCGGGCCTGGCTGCCCGCCAGTGCTGCAGTACCGTGGCATGGACGCCGTGGCATGGACGCCGGGCTATTTCCTTCCCTCCTTCAGCCCCCCTACCCGGCTGCCTTCCCAGGCTGAGAGAGAGGCCGACTGGGGGTTCCTCAGTCCAGACCCAACCCTGCCTCAGTTTTCTCAAGAGCCTACTTCCAGCTTGATGAGATGAAAAGGAAGCTTTAAAATGGGGGGGGGGGACTTGCCCCCTGAGAAGAACACTTGGGGGCTGTGCTCAGAAAGCCCTCGGTCTTCCTGACACCCCGAGGTTGCAGGCCGGGCAGGTGGTTCACACCCTCCTCCACCTCAGGAAGGGTAACAGCTGGGGAGGGGAAGAGAAGCCGTCCTCTCCCACCGGAGGCCGACAGCCCCCGGCTGCGGAGTGAAGGGGCTAAGGGTCCCGGACATGCACCCAGCCGGTGCCCCTCTGCGGGGGCTCCCTGCACGCTTCCTCACAGCCGGCCACCTAGCCACGTCCATCTCCTGGGTCTCTTCCTGCCTAGCTGGGAGAGAAGGCTCAGCCCTGCCTCTTCCCCTGCGACCCGGGAGGGATAAAGGAATCACTTCGGGCTCGCCATGCGGCAGCGAACCTCCTCCTAGCCCACCCTAACCTAGATGTGGGGGGAGGCAGCCCCGAGAAGCCCCCGGTGGGCGGGGCACGCTGGCCCCCAGCCCTCCGCGCTCCTCCCCCGCCCTGGCTTTCCTTTGTGCTGTGGCCGGGCAGGCTGCTCCGGCTCCCCTAGCTGGGTCCCCGCCCCGTCCCCACCCGGTCCTCACCCGCTCGAAGGTGGCGAAGGTGCCCTTGGCTGGCCCGAGCACACCTGTCCCCCGGGCCCGTGGAGGGAGGCAGGGTGGGGAGGGGGATGGGCTCCGGCAGGGCCGCAGGACCCCGGGCCCCACGTCCGGGCTCCACCTCCGCGCGGCTGGCGTCCGGCTCCGGCGTCCCCGGGGCGCCCCGGCCCGCGCGCCCAGCCTGGCCCGGGCGGCCCCTCCCCCGGCTCGCACAAAGGCAGCCCCTCCCCGGCTCGCCTGGGCCGTTGCACCACTTAGGGGTCCCCCCTCCCCTCCCGGTAGCGGAGCCTCGGGGAAACAAAGGCGCGCGGCGGCCTGGGGACAAAGGGGCCGGGGGCGGGGGCGGGGGGCTCACCAGTCGGCCGCGCTCTCCTCCCGGATCACCTCCTCGTACGCCGCCAGCAGCTCCAGGCGGTGGCCGCTGAAGCTGACGCCGGCCATGCTGCGGGCCGGACCGAGGCCGAACGGACTGACGCTCGCGCGGACGGACCGACAGACACCGGAGGGAGGGATGAGGGAGCCGCCGCCGCCGTCTCAGAGCCTCTGCAGCGCCGAGAGCGAGCAAGCCAGCGGCCGGGGGAGGGGAGCCGGCCGGCGGGGGGCGGGGGGCGCTGGCTCCGCCCGGCTCCCTCCCTCGGCTCGCTCGGTCCTAGCGCCGCCCTGGCCCGGCCCAGGGGGAGGCCCGCCCCCCCCTTCCCGGCTTGCCCCGGGCGCCCCCACGCCCCTCGCCCGCTGGCCGGCGCCCGTACTCCGAGCTTCCACCCCGCTCCCAGGGCCGGCACCGTGCACCTGTCTTGTCTTGTCCCCAACCTAGTAGCACACCCTCTTCCCCAGCCTCACACCCACCGAGAGTCCAGGCCCTACCCGGCCCAGGTTCATCCCCCGCCTCCTCGGGATAATTGGCCCAGCCCAACACTTTGATTCATTTAACTCCAGCCCAGCCTCGCCCCTCTCCGGGTCCATTCCTCCCTGCATTAGCCCCCTCTTGGACCTTCCCCTGCTCCTGCCCGCGCCGCTCATCAGCCCAGTCTGATGAGGTGGGCTGGGCTGTCTACAGCCGGCTCCCTTCCCAGTCTACCGCCCGCTTCCAGGGCCACCGCACACCTACCCCAGCTACAGGCGCAGGCCTAGCGCCGCACGCTCCACCTAATCACCACACCCTCCAGCTATGCCAGCCTGCCCGAACCCCACTCAGGTCCCCCACCCTACCCATACCCCTTCCCGCATCGCTGCCCTATGACCTTGTCTCAAGCGTTCCTCCCCCACCCGGCTCATCACCTCACCATTCCAACCATTTTCTTCCTTCTGGATGGAGAATCTGGAAAAACATGTCTTCTTTCCCAAACACCATACATCCTAAGGAACCCCAAGTTGGGTCTCCAAGGCCGGACGCCTCCAAAGCTACACCAGGGTGAACTTTCTGGCACCTTTTATTTCCCAAAGCTCTGAGCACAGAAGGGACTGGGCCTCAGGGAAGTCCCTATGGGGAACTGTTGGCATGGTCAGGGCCTCCAAGCACTCTTTCCTGTGGAGTAAGTAGAGGACCCGGAAGCCCTCCACAGCTCCGGGAAAAACTTCCCATCACTACCATGCCTCCCGACCCACTTCCCAGGGAGGCGACAGTGCCCAGAGCCTCACCACGCCTCACCAGGGCTAATCTATGAAGAGGAAGTAGCAGCGGTTTTGAGTGGGTTCCTAGTTCTGATATGACCAATCATCTAAGCCAAGAAGCCAGTATGTACATTCACTGCAGTGCTTCAGAATGGGACCTGGATGAGGGGTGGCTTTAAAAACTCCGAAGTTCACACAAGCCCCCACTGTGGGAGTTCTGGGTACCCACTGTACTCATGGACCCCTATCCTTGGCAGTTTCTCCTCCCCTCCCACCTATAGTGAGCCCCAGGAGTGGTCAGTCCTGGGCCCTGAGCCCTAGATGCAGCTGGCGGCAATGGTGATGGCAGAGGGCAATACTGATAACTCAAGAAGGGGAAGGACAGGGTGGAGAAGCCCAGCTGAGGACCCAGCCTGGGTTTGCTGTATGTTAGACCCGCCAACACTCTCCTGAGGAGGTTTGGCGGCTGTGGCACAGGAATAGGCTTCGGCATCTCTGGTCTCAGTCCCTTCCTGCCTCTTCCTACTTCCCCAACCTTGCTGTCTCCCCAGCCTCCCGATTAGTCCCCCAAACAGACCCACATGCACCAAGGAAGCACCATCCTCAGACTCTTGCCCCCCTCCACTTGCCTACCACGGTAGCCGTGCCCATTTCACCTCCCTTCTCTCTCTCTCTCTTTTTTTTTTTTTTTTTTTTTTGTTGTTGTTGTTGTTCTGCTTAGTTTTAAAAAATATTTTTATTTGTCTGGGTATGTTGGTGCACGCCTTTAAGCCTTTAATCCCAGCACTGGGGAGGCAGAGGCAGGTGCATCTCTGTGAGTTCCAGGCAAGACAGGCCTACATTGAGACCCTGCCTCAAAATAAGGAAATAAAAATCCAAGTTCTTTCTCTTTCTTGTTTTTAATTTTTAGGTTAGTGTACAGAATCACAGGCCTCACCACAATATGGGTCATTGTTTCTGTTGTCATTTGTTCCCCTCCCCCACTTTCCTCCTCTATGCTTCCTCCTCTAGCTGGCTCCCTTCCTCCCCCACCCCCTTTTAAGATTATCATTGTGTGTGAGTACAGGCACACACACGTGTCACAGCCTTCCTGTGGAGGTCAGAAGACATCTTTCAAGCATCAGTTCTCTCTTCCACCACTGGCTCCTGGGATCTAATGCAGGTCATCCGGCTTGTACCTGCTGAGCCATCCTGCTGGCCCTTCTTTAGTTTTTCTTGTTACTTGAGGCAGGATTCACACTGTAGCCCAAGCTGGCCTCAAACTCCATGTCTGAACGATGGGATTACAGGCATGAGCCATGTACTTGGCTGCTGAAGAATGGCTTCACGTGGGGATGATGGCGACTAGAACGCCAGCATCTGCAGGTGGAGGCAGGGAGAACATTCTCCCCTGCAGGGGGAGCTCAGGGACTCTCTGTTTCAAAAACAGACCAGGCAGGTGCTGTGTGGGGAAGCGCCAGGCCCTTTAATCCGGGAGGCAGAGGCAAGTGGATCTTTGGGTGTTCAGGGACAGCCTGGTGTACCTATCACATTCCAGGACAGCCACACTACACAGACAGACCCTGTCTCAAAAACAAACAAACTCAGAAGGGAGGCAGTTTTAGGACTGAGAGACAGTTGAGCAAGCTGAATTGCTTTTGTCAAGCTGGGGCTAGATCCTCAGACAGGCCCCACAGCCCTACATCTGCTTTCTCCTGTTTCCGAGGGATGGAGGCGGCCGCTTACAAGCCCTGGAGGTTATGTCCTACCCTCTAGCCACCGTGTTTCTTGACTTTTTCTGGCCAACATCTCCTCTTTCGATTTCCAAGTTCAGTTGCTCTATGGTAGCTGCTTCCCTGGCCATGTTTGTGGGAGAAGATGGCCACTGCTCATTCCTCAGAGACCCTGCCTCCTTGCAGAGACTTAGTTGCCCTTAAAAACCACACCCAGTCTTGCTGGGTGGCTGGCACCTAGGTGCCTCCTCTGAGGTCCTCCCACCAGGGTTTGCATCTGCCAGCCTGGCATTGATCACCCTTCAAGTCGATGACATGTCAGTCTCTCCCACACCCAGAGCTCCCCACACACTCTGGGAGGCTGGTCCCATGGCTTTCGGTCCCTAGAATGGAAAAGAGGAGGACAGATTCAGAAACCAGCTCCTTGCTTGCACCTTTGGCTAGGTCTCTTCCTCTTCTGAGGTTCCTTTTGAGAGCCTGTTAGGATAAAACCTGGGTGGCAAGTTAGAATACGGGACCCCCTCCCTCCCTCCTGGCAGCTCCGCCCTCCTCCCCAACCTTCCAGCTCCGAGCTCCCCCAAGCCTTTCCAAGGTGGAGGGAGCATGTAGGCTGCAGGGCTTTTCCAGCATCAGCAGGCAACGCCCTCCCTGGCCTCATCCCGTAAGAGCCTACCCAGCACAGCTTCCAGAGTCCCCCTTGTCTTTCTGAAGCTCAGTGCTTCCCCAGCCAACCACATTGCACATTCTCTGCTTCTCACAAAGCTAGCTAGCGTCCTCACCCAACTGCACCCTGCCATGCGTGTGACCTGGGGCAAATCTGGAGCGTGTTCGTGGGGGGGTACTTTACTGATCGAAATCTGCATCTCAAACCCTCATCTCAGCAGAGGGTACTGGCTTCCGTCTGTTGATTTTTCTGTTTGCTTTCCGCTGCTGTACTAAAACACTATGACCAAAAGCAACCTGGGGGAGGGGTATTTCAGCTGACAGTTTATAGTCCATTGGGGAGAGAAATCAGGGCAGAAACCTGGAAGTAAAACACAGGCCACAGAGGGGTGCTGCTTGCCGGCTTGCTCTCCCTGACTTGCTCAGCCTGTTTTCTTATTCATCCTTGGACCACCTACTCAGGGTTGGCACCTGCCTTAGGTGGGTGGGGGCAACACAGATCTGAGTGGGTTTTGACAGTTTTTCTGTCTCCCTGGCTGTGCTGGAACTCTGTGCACCAGGCTGGCATCCACTTGGGAGGCAGGTTGGACCCACCTGCCTGTACCTCCAGGCTGCTGGGATTAAAGGTGTGCACCACCACTGCCCAGCCCTGACCTATATCTTTAGGATCCTTTGTTTTGCTTTGGTTTTTTGAGACAGGGTTTCTCTGTGTAGCCTTGGCTGTCCTGGACTCGCTTTGGAGAGCAGGCTGGCCTCGAACTCACAGAGATCCACCTGCCTCTGCCTCCTGAGTGATGGGATTACAGGTGTGTGCCAGGCTTTTAGGTTCCTTTTTATTTCAAGACAAGTCTCACTAAATTGCCCAAACTGGCCTACAACTCACTCTGCAGCCCAGGCAAGCTCTGAACGTGTGATCCTCTGCCTCAGCCTCTCATGCAGCTAGGATGAGAGGGCCTGGGACATCCGGTGTGGCTAGTTTGACAATTTTCTTTTCAAAAGTATCCAGGAAGTGTTTAAAGTAGCAAAATACACAAGTAGGCGCTCTGGACATGTAAGCTGCTGGGGCAACAAGTCGCCTAGAGGTACACAGGTGAGTGTCAAAGTCCACTTCAGCATAGCATAACACACACACACACACACACACATCCCAAACGGCCCTAAATGTGGTAAGCAGTCCCAGGAGCTAGGCTGAGCGGTCTGGGAATGGACTTCCGGGGCAGAACGCCATGCTGCGGAGAGGCTGACGTGCACAGGGCGTTTGTGCTCGGGTCTCCTCAGCGTTCCCGCTTGTCAATTCTGATTCTTCCGGTACCCTGTGACCCGGCCGTGTAGACCAGACCTGTGACATCACGGAAGGAACCTGCGACCCAAGTCAGTCCAGTGGAGTTGGGCGGAGGGCAGTAACAAGGGCGTGCTTCCCGGGATGTGGCCTCCTCGTGAGGAACAGAGTAAGACAGCCATTGCCTTCTCCAGTGTCTGCCGTGGCTGATCTGGACAATCATCCCTGCTTTTCACTCAAAGGAGGTCTCGCGAGGCTGGTAAACTCGCATTACGGCGCCCCTGGCATCTAGCTTGAGCCTGCTTCCTCC